TATCCCAATATCTTTTTTCTAAATTGAGCCCTTTTGGGGCTCAATTTAGTGTGTGCGTGTGTGTGTGTGTGTGTGTGTGTGTGTACGTGCAAGCATTCATCCACACTCAAGCACATCCTCAAATAGCTTCCTAGGAAAGATGTCTGGAAAGTACATTTTTTTGAGCCTCTCCACGTCTAAATTGTCTCTTTTTGGGGCACCTGGGTGGCTCAGTCAGGTAAGTGGCCAACTTTGGCTCAGGTCATGATCTCAGTGCCTGAATTCGAGCCCCGCATCAGGCTCTGTGCTGACAGCTCAGAGCCTGGAGCCTGCTTCGGATTCTGTGTCTCCCTCTCTCTGCACCTCCCCTGCTCACACTGTCCCCTTCTCTCTTTCTCTCAAAAAATAAATAAATATTTTAAATTTTTTTTTGAAGATTGTCTCTTTTCTACTGTTTCACTTGATGGAGAGTTTGACTAAATATGGAACACTTGGCTAAAAAATAACTTAAAAATAAATTTGAAGGTCTAGCTCCATTATTTTCCACCTCCCGTTTGAGATGTTTGATGCCGTTCTGATTCATAATCTTCTATTCATTATCTGTCTCACCATTATCTGCGCCCCCCATGTCCTCCTCCCCTTCCAGAAGCTTTTACTATCCACTGTTTATCTCCAGCGTTTGAAACTTCACAATAATGAGTCTTTTGTTGTTTTTTAAAATTGTTTGTTGAGGTTTTTGTTTGCTTTTGTTTTTTGTCTTTTATTCATTGGGCTGGATACCCAAAGGGCCTTTCTGAGAAGAAGCTCATGTTCTTGAGCTCTGGAAAATTTGTTTATGTTATTTTACCAATACTTTCCCCCACCATTCTTTTTAGCCCTCTCTTTCTGGAGCTCCTATCATTCAGCTGTTAGGCCTCCTGAATCAACCATCTAATTTCTTATGTTTTCTTTCTTATTGTCCAGTTATTCACCATTTTGCTCTACATTTTGGATTCCTTATATCCTCTACTTTTCTCACTTTTTCATTTCTGCCATCCAATTTTTTATTTTTCTAGTTTTTTTTTTTTTTGTTGTTGTTGTTGTTATCCTCTGAATGTCCTTTTTAAAACTATCATCTTGTATATGGATACATATCATCTCTTATTTCTCTGGGGATATCCATGACCTTTTTCATTTTTCTTCTCCCTCCATAGTTTGTTTCTCTGAGTTTCTTTTTTTAAACAAGTTTATTCAGGTATAATTCTTTTTTTTTTTTAAGTTTATTTATTTTTGAGAGAAAGAGCTGGGGAGGAGCAGAGAGAGAGAGGGAGAGAGAATCCTAAGCAGACTCCACACTATCAACACAGAGCCTGACATGGGACTTGAACTCATGAACTGTGAGATCATGACCTGAACCAAAATCAAGAGTCTGATGCTTAACCAACTGTGCCACCCAGGATATAATTCCTATGTCATTAAATTCACTCATTTTTAGTGTCTAATTCACTGACGTTTGGAGTATTCATTGAATCATTCAACCATCACTAAATCCAGTTTTATTATTTCTTCTTTTTTTTAATGCTTATTTATTTTTGACAGAGAGAGAGAGAGAGAGAGAGACAGAGCATGAATGGGGGAGGGGCAGAGAGAGGGAGACACAGAATCTGAAGCAGGCTCCAGTCTCTGAGCTGTTAGCACAGAGCCCGATGTGGGGCTCGAACTCACGGACGACGAGATCACGACCTGTTCCGAAGTCGGAGGCTTAACTGACTGAGCCACCCGGGTGCCCCATACAATCCAGTTGTAGAACATTTCTACACCCCCAAAAAATATCATGCTCCCATTTGCAATTCATCTCCATTCCCATCTCGTCCCAATCAGCCAATAATCTGCTGTGTCTACACATTTACTTTTTCTAGATACTTCATACAAATAGAATAGTGCAATAAATGTTCTTCTGTGTCTGCTTTCTTTCACCTCACATGCTGTGTGAACACCGTTCTCACTGCAGCAGGCATCAGCAGGTCGTTCCTTTTTCTGTCACTGAAGAGTATTCCATTTTAGGGCAATTATAAACATCTTTTTGTTATTTTCATATTTTATGTTGAGTTCTGTGTTTCACATTAGAGGGGTTTTACCAAATGAATGCACTCCCTGGCAGTCTGTTCATATTTAGAAAGAGAGGCCCAAAAAGTTATTTGGAAACTATGTGTGTTCATGATGGGAGGTGGTGCAGTGGGGGCTTCATTATACTTCTTTGAGGAAATTCTCTTGTCAGTGTTTTTCATTCTTTTCTGTTGGGCTGGTAGAATTTTCCAGAGAAGACTCTCCTAATGTCTTGGCTGGAAGGTATAATCCTAGCTTCCAGAGTTCCAGGAATTGAGAGGAAGGAGAAGGCTAAGATGTCACAAATTTTAGGACATAAACTTTTCTTTGATCCCCCTGTTTTCAGTAAGAGATCCCTGCCTCCTTCGACTGTGTCTGTGTGCCTGAGTCCAGAGACCCTGTGTTTTGTTCTCTTCTACTAGGCTGGCTGCACAGAATAGATGAGAGGATCTGGAGGTACTTTCTAAAAAGACTTTCAAACAATCTCTCTATTTTTAGCCCTACCATTATCTGCTCCTCCACCCATGTTTCCACAGCTGTCTGGTGCCAGTTTCTGAGCCTTGGGGATCTGCAGTGTAATGTGGGTTACCTCTCTGCTTTACCCACTGCCAGTTTAGGATTCGTTTTCTTGGATCGCTAATCCATCTACCACGTTTCCACTTACTTTGCAGTGTCTAAAATTTTACTGCTATTGTTTTCTTTACTAGTCTCATAGGTTTGTGCCTCCATAAAATTCCCTCTGCTCTCATTTTCATGGCATTTTTGTCAGGAATAGAGTACTTATTCAACAAGCCATCTTTAATGTGAATCTCAATTAATTCTTTTTTTAATGCATATTTATTTATTTTGAGAGAAAGAGAGAGCTTGTAAGAGGGGAGAGGCAGAGAGAGGGAGAGAGAGAATCCCAAGCAGGCTCTGCACTGTTAGCACAGAGCCAGACGCGAGACCTGAACCCACAAACCACGAGACCATGACCCGAGCCAAAGTCAGATGCTTAACCACCCAACTGACTGAGCTACCAAGGCACCCCTAAATTCAATTCTTTAATGAAAAGTAAAACTTTCAATTTCAAATAATTTATGTAAAAACCTTATCCTCAAAGAAGTGCAGCATAGCTCACCACTCCTTTTATTTTTTTTAATGTTTATTTATTTTTGAGAGAGAAGGAGACAGAGCACAAGCAGGAGAGGGGCAGAGAGTAAGGGAGACCCAGAATCTGAAGCAGGCTCCAGGCTCTGAGCTGTCAGCACAGAGACTGACATGGGGCTCGAACTCACGCACTGAGATCATGACCAGAGCTGAAGTCGGACACTTAACCAACTGAGCCAGCCAGGCACCTCTAGATCACTACTCCTTAAATGTGTGCTGCACAGAGTGTCTTCCTTTCAAGAGTCCAGAATGAAAAGGGGCAGGGGCTTTGGCTTTATGATGGAGAAAACTGACAGATATCTCAGCCAAGGGACCAAAGTCAACACTAACAGTGATAAGTCATGTTCATAGTGTCCATCCTTGATATTATAAGAAGAGGATGGTACTTGACTTTTGTGGTACCCCTTCCAAAAACCTTTAATTGCAGTCTAATCAAGGGGAAAACATCAGACAAATCCCAATTGAGGAACAATCTACAAAGTACCTAAGTAGTACTTCCCAAAACTGTCCAAGTCCTCAAAACAAGGAGGAACTGTCAAAGCCAGGAGGAGCCTAAGCAAACATAATAAATAAATGGAATGTGGTAACTTGGACAGGATCCAGGAACAGAAAAAGAGTATTAGGCAAAAACTTAAGGAAATCTGAATACTGTATGAACTTTAGTTAAGAGGAATGTACCAATACTAGGTCGTTAATTATGATAAATGTACCACACTAATGGGAAAACCAGTGAGGTGTGGGACAAACTGGGTGTGCGGCATATGGCAATGTTCTACTATCTTCATAACTTCTCTGTAAATCAAAAATTATTCTTTTAAAAAGTTTATTTAAAAAATTAAACCTCTCTCATTTATCCTTTGGCTATTTAATTGATACCTTCATGCCAACTGAAATGTGCCAGAATTTGGCTCATTTCTACCTCATACTAAAACTATTAGGCACCTATTCTGTGTGTTGGAATAGTTTATTAGTTCTCTTTTACAGATACTTACTGAGCAAGTACTAAGTTTCAGGAAATATACCTGGTGCTTGGGGCTACAGAGATCAATAAAATATGATTCCTGTCCCATAAGAAGTTCAGATTCGAGGAAAACAGACTAACATAAAATACTTTCTGTATTCTACTTCTCTAGAAACACACCAGCTACCATGAACACATTTTGCTATTCATAGTAAGAGTGGAAAAAAATAAGGCTGAAATTCTCTAATTTTCAAAAACTTTTGTTTAGGTGAGATGTGGAATCTCTTAGAATTGTATCACCAGTTAAGCAATATGCAAGAATGATTAAATACCTGGTGTAAAAGGGCATATTGAAAACAGAGAAACAGAGAAACAAGTAGAAACTTTCTGCCTTTTTTTTTTTTTTTTTTTTTTGAGAGAGAGAGATACTGAGTGAGTCGGGGAGGGGTAGAGAAAGAGGATCCCAAACAGGCTCCACACTGTCAGCACAGAGCCCGTTGTGGGGCTTGAACTCACAAACCAGAGATCATGACCTGAGCCGAAATCAAGAGTTGGACACTTAACTAACTGGGCCACCCAGATGCCCCCAAAACTTCCTACATTTTTTAAACTTTATTTATTTTGAGAGAGACAAAGAGAGCGTGTGCAGGGGGAAAGAGGGGTGCAAAGAGAGAGAGAGAGAGAGAGAGAGAGAGAGAGAGAGGATCTCAAGCAGACTCCAGAGCAGTCAGCTCAGAGCCCACCGTGGGGCTTGTACCCACAAAACCATGAGATCATGACCTGAGTCAAAATTAAGTGTAGACACTCAACCAACTGAGCCACCCAGGAGCCCCAGAACTTTCTACTTTTTGACGTGATGACACATCCCCTCACCAACCACAATATCAAGCAGTGCCTCATCAAGAAGGTACAGGAAGCTTTTCTTGACAAATGGGTGAATGACCCTCACCGTATGGACAAACGTTTGCTGGCCCTTATTTACCTAGCCCACGCCTCCGACGTCCTGGAGAATGCTTTCGCCCCCCTTCTGGACAAGCAGTATGATTTAGCCACCAAGAGAGTACGGCAGCTCCTCGACTTAGATCTGGAAGTGGAGTGTCTGAAGGCCAACACCAACGAGGTCCTGTGGGCGGTGGTGGCAGTGTTCACCAAGTAACTGCTCAGAATGAGGTGTTCTTCTTCCAGGTAAGCCAGTTGCTTCAATTCTATTGACTTCTGATTTTTTATAGTTTGTACTTTCCTACACTATAATTGGCTTTTGTTTTATATAATAATAGGTAGCTTTTCTGTGTGTGTGTGTGTGTGTGTGTGTGCGTGTGTGTGTGGGTGGGTGGGTGAATGCAAGAAACTGCTGGTATGAGGGACCTTTCTGTTTAAGTTTAGAGAAAAGTCTTACTGTCATTGGTATTTTGTTCTTTCTTGAGTTTCAGAGAGTTGCCCTTCTCAACAGTCACAGGTTTGGGTTTCTGTTATGTTTATTTCAAACTACCTCCAGGTCCACATGCACTTCATTAGCATCTTGTCAGTTGCAAACTCTCCACAAGTACAAATTCTTCTGTACTTCTCAAACCCTGAGGGAGAAACCACACACACACGAAGTCAGACGCTTAACCGACTGAGCCACCCACATGCCCCATGGGAAGAGGGGGTTTTTATGCCAAGTCTCAAAAATGATGTTACCAGACTCCGGTATGTGGGGGAAATAGAGAGATGTTGGTCAAAAAGTACAAACTTACAGTCATAAGATGAATGAGTTCTGGTGATCTAATGTACAGCATGGTGTTGCAAAATGACCAGCACACTAAGTCTAGTTAACATCAACCTCATCTATTTTCACTATTAAATCATAAAGGTGAATTGCTCCATTAAGCCATTTGGGATGTGATACATCCCACGTATGCTGCATGTAGTGTGGGCTTCACATGAATTGCTCTTTGCTCTGCACACCATTTAGGAGGTAGGGAAGTGCTGGGGGGGGGTTAAATGAATAGCTCAAAGACATCCAGAGTCCTATGTCTTTTTTCCTCATTTTCTCTCTGTAATTCTCAGGATATTGCCCTTTGATTCAGATACTCTCTCATGTTGCAAAAAGGACAGTAGCTCCAAGGATCCAACTCTTACACAACAATTTCCAAAGACGGGAAGAAGTGAAGAGGCTCGTGTCTTTTCCTCATGTGCCTTTTAAAGAGTTATAAAACCTTATTCAGAACCCCCAGCAGGTGCACTCTCATGTCTCATTGGCTGGATTTATATCACATGCTCACTTCTAAACCAATCATGTATTAATCAAGATTCACACCTTGTGGCTCTTCAGAAGGACTCTGTCTCTTCTGGAGTACATGGTTATTGGATGTGGGAGAGGAGGGACAGGATAGTCTGTGAGCAAGAAAGAAGGAAAATTTGTGAGCAATCAGTATCTGTCTTCCATAGTCGCTGACAATGAACATCTTTTCACGTAGTTATTAGCTACTTTCACTGGTCAATTTTTGTATTGCTATACCAATACCCTGCTGTTCAAATAGCTTTATAATAAGTCTTGATATCTGTGAAGACCAGTCCTTCCTCAAAATTGTGTTGGTGATGCTGAGCCCTTTGCTCTTCTATATGATTTATTTTTATTTTTATTTAATTTTTTTTTCAACGTTTTTTTATTTATTTTTGGGACAGAGAGAGACAGAGCATGAACGGGGGAGGGGCAGAGAGAGAGGGAGACACAGAATCGGAAACAGGCTCCAGGCTCTGAGCCATCAGCCCAGAGCCCGACGCGGGGCTCGAACTCACGGACCGTGAGATCGTGACCTGGCTGAAGTCGGATGCCCAACCGACTGCGCCACCCAGGCGCCCCTATTTAATTTATTTTTTAAATTTACATGCAAGTTAGTTAGGATATAGTGCAACAATGATTTCAGGAGTAGATTCCTTAGTACCCCTTACCCATTTAGCCCATCCCCCCTCCCACAACCCCTCCAGTAACCTTCCATTTGTTCTCCATATTTAAGAGTCTCTTACATTTTGTCCCCCTCCCTGTTTTTATATTATTTTTCCTTCCCTTCCCTTATGTTCATCTGTTGTGTATCTTAAAGTCCTCATATGAGGGAAGTCATATGATATTTGTCTTTCTCTGACTAATTTTACTTAGCATAATACCCTCCAGTTCCAACCACGTAGCTGCAAATGGCAAGATTTCATTCTTTTTTATTGCTGAGTAATACTCCATTGTGTGTGTGTGTGTGTGTGTGTGTGTGTGTGTGTATATATATATATATATATACACACCACATCTTCTTTATCCATTCATCCATTGATGGACAGTTGGGCTCTTTCCATACTTTGGCTCTTGTTGATAGTGCTGCTATAAACATGGGGGTGCCTGTGCCCCTTCAAAACAACATTACCTGTATCCCTTGGAGAAATACCTAGTGGTGCAATTGCTGGGTCGTAGGGTAGTTCTATTTTTAATTTTTCGAGGAAACTCCAGACTTTTTTCCAGAGTGGCTGAACCAGTTTCCATTCCCACTAGCAGTGCAAAAGAGATCCTCTTTCTCCACATCCTCTCCAATATGTGTTGTTGCCTGAGTTGTTAATGCTAGGCATTCTGACAGATGTGAGGTGGTATCTCATTGTGGTTTTGATTTGTATTTCCCTGATGCTGAGTGATGTGGAGCATTTTTTCATGTGTCTGTTGGCCATCTGGATGTCTTCTTTGGAGATGTGTCTATTCATGTCTTTTGCCCATTTCTTCGCTGGATTATTTGTTTTTTAGGTGGTGGGTTTGATAAGTGCTTTATAGATTTTGGATACTAACCCTTTATCTGATACGTTGTTTGCAAATATCTTCTCCCATTCCATCAGTTGCCTTTTAGTTTTGCTGATTGTTTCCTTTGCTGTGCAGAAGCTTTTTATTTTGATGAGGTCCCAATAATTCATTTTTTCTTTTGTTTCCCTTGTCTCTGGAGATGTGTTGAGTAAGAAGTTGCTGTGGCCACGGTCAGAGAGGTTTTTGCCTGCTTTCTCCTGGAGGATTTTGATGGCTTCCTGTCTTACATTGAGGTATTTCATCCATTTTGAGTTTATTTTTGTGTATGGTGTAAGAAAGTGGTTCAGGTTCATTGTTCTGCATGTCGCTGTCCAGTTTTCCTAGCACCACTTGCTGAAGAGACTGTCTTTATTCCGTTGGATGTTCTTTCCTGCTTTGTCAAAGGTTAATTGGCCATACAGTTGTGGGTCCATTTCTGTGTTCTCTATTCTGTTCCATTGATCTGAGTGTCTGTTCTTGTGCCAGTACCATACTGTCTTGATGATGACAGCTTTGTAATACAGCTCAAAGTCCATCTTCCATATGAATCTTAGGAACAACTTCCCAAGTTTCCTGAAATACTCTTTTGGGATTTCGGTTGGTATGACATCATGCAGATTTATTTGAAGGAACTGACATCGTTAGGACACTGAGTCTTTCCATCTAGGAACATGGCATAACTTTCCGTGGTAAATATGGCTACAGATTCTTTGCACCTCCTATTAAATGGTGGAGCCTATTTCCCCACCTCTTATATCTGGGCTGGCTTTGCTCTTTGCTTTATCCACTAGAATGTGGCAGAAGTGGCATTTTGCAAGCTCCAGAGCTGGGGGTACATGAAGTGATATGGTTTCTGCGTTCACTCTCTTGGAATGCTGCCTTGAGACCACCATACCATAATGAAGCCCAGGATAAAAGAGCATATGGAAAGAGAAAGCTGAGCAGCTGTCTCAGCTAAGTTCAGTACCCAGCCAGCTGACCTGCCAGCTGAATGCAGCTGTGTGAATGAGCCTGCGAGAAAGCAGTGGAGAACTGCTTAGCCAACCCATAGAATTACAAGAAATGATGAATTGTTATTGATTTAAGCCATTAAGTTTTGGGGTATTTTACTCCACAACAAAGACTAGCTGAAAGAGAAATTGGTACCCAAAAGTGGGGTACAGCTATAATAACGACTTAACATATGTGGCATGGCCTTGGGACGGGGCAGTGGATAGAGACTGCTGGGGGAGCAAGGAGACTATTAGTGGAAGCTTGAAAAAACAGTGGGGAAACTACTATTAAAGTCCAGAAGGATAGTAAGCAATGTTTTGTGCTAGTGAAAAAACTGGCAAAACTGTTATCAACACCACATGAAGCAAAGGAACTACCTGGTTAACCCATAGAATCTTGAGAAATACTGAATTATTTTTATTATTATTGCATTGAGACAATAAAACAGTAAGTTTTGGGATGGTTTTATATAATATATAATTGAAATACTAATGAACTGGTGAGTCTGATTGTTATGGGCTGAATTTTCCTCAAAAAATGCATATGTTGAGGGGCGCCAGGGTGGCTCAGTAGGTTAAGCATCCAACTTCAGGTCAGGTCATGATCTCGTGGTCCATGAGTTTGAGCCCCACGTCAGGCTCTGTGCTGACAGCCCAGAGCCTGGAGCCTACTTCAGATTCTGTGTCTCCCTCTCTCTCTGCCCCTCTTCCACTTGCTCTCTCTCTCTCTCTCTCTCTCTCTCTCTCTCAAACATAAATAAACATTAAAAAAAATTAATGCATATGTTGAAGCCCTAACCCCCAATATAACTGTTTTTGGAGACAAGGCCTTTAGGAAGGTAATTAAGGTTAAATGAAGTCATAGGAATGAGGCCCTAATCCAATGAAACTGGTTTCCTTATAAGGGGAAGAGACACCAGAAATCTAGTAACCCGTCTATAGATGTTCTTGGATTTTTTTTTTAAAAATTAAGTTTGTTTATTTTGAGAGAGAGAGAGAGTGCACATGCGTGCATGATTTGGGGCAGGGTAGAGAGAAGGAGAGACAGAATCCCAAGCAAGCTCCACACCATCAGCACAGAGCCCGGTGCAATGCAGAGATCGAACCCACACAGTGAGATGGTGTCCTGCACCAAGATCAAGAGTCGGATGCTTAACCGACTACGCCACCCAGATGCCCCTTCTTGGATTTTTTTATACAGATGATAATATTATCAGGAAATGATGGTATTCATTTCAAATTATTATAGTTCATTTATTTTTTTCTAATCTAAGTCAGCAACACTTATTTTTGATATTGTTTTCATTTAATTTTGTAATAGGTATTATATTCACATGCTTTAAGAAACATGAAAAGGTGGGGTGCCTGGGTG